CCAAGGGTAGTTTCGTAATTACTAATTTCATTTTGCACCACTAAATGCAAAATGATCTTCGTTCCCTTCGTTTTGATAAAACACATTTCATATCTTTTACAAGATTTCTCATATATTTCATCTGAGATTATAGATAATCTTATATAACATTTATCTAAACCTAGAATTTTACAAAAAAAAACCATTTATTATTTATCTGCCAAAAAATATTTTATTTAAAATGATCCAATTAGAAGTTTTACATAAAATAAAGAGAAATCCAAGAAGATATTTCATAAAATGTGGTATCACCATTAAAAGTTTTTTTTTTTATTTTACTTCAAAAACTTGATACTCCTATTTATGTAAGAAACGTACCATATTGTTATAAATAGTTTATAATAAAATAAATGTTGAAGATAAATTATTTTCTTTATATCTAATAGTAAATTTTAAATTTAAATCAATAACACAACTTTATTTAAAATAAAAAGAAGATTAATATTAATAATAATTATATTTACGAATTAATTAGTTTCTAAATCAAATAAGAATAATACAAACTTTTCAAATATTAAAAGAGGTATTTTTCAGAAAGAGAAAAAACAAAATGTATTTTTCAAAAAATCCCTTTTTTGCGAAGAAATGAATGAAAGAGAATCCAGCAGTGGCGGAGCCAGCATGTTGGCATGGTGGTCAATTGACCCACATGAATTTTTTTAAAACCATGTAAATTATATTGAGGGTTTTAAGTTGACCTTTACCCAAAACAATTATTGACCCCTATTGACCCCGATAAATTGTTTTTCTGGTTCCGCCAGTAGAATCCAGCGTGAAAGTCAAATATTATTCCGCTCTTTGCGGGATCCATGTTTAATCGCCGTATTATGAGATCTTATGGCATCTCAAACCACACTCCAAAACCAACTCCAAACTCTATTTTAGAGTCCTCTTCAACCCCATTACATTTTCAACTCCAAAATTGTGTAAACCCATATTTTTTTTCAAATATGGAGTAATTTTGGAGTTGGACTTTATAATTTATAAAATGATCCTTCAAATTTTTAAATAATTTCATTTTAAGAGATAAATAATTATTTTAGTGATG